GGGGGGGGGAAGGGAGAGGAGAGGGGGCGGTGTGTGTGTGTGTTGGCTATTGCAAGGAAAATGAGCGATAGTGAACTTCAGAAACCAAGCAGCATCATAGACATGAGACCAGATAGTCGTGACCTCGAACCAAAAGCAGAATTGCAACACGAGTTCCACCAAATAAGAGCACAGCAAAAGCTTACAAGTGACAATGTTGGAATAGTCTCATCATCATCAACAATGAACCAATGTCAACATCCTATCTGGCGCTCTGCGCCCAGACTACGAATGGCAGATCCTATCTAGCCTATCTACAATGCCGCTGGTGACGTCAACAGCTCCCCGAAGTACGAGCAGATCTCGGCCAATGCCATTCACCTCAAGCACCAGGTATGTCTCTCGTATTACTCACAACCTCCATCCCCCACTCACAGATGCCAGATGCACCCAAGGACCACCGTGCGCCCTATCCAGCATAGTGCAGCGCAGCTCGGCTATGGCTGCCTGCTCATCCATCTCGCCCGTGAGCACGTGAGCGCCGGCCAGCGTTTAGCGCAGCATGCAGCCAGTGCCCGAATCCCGAATGCGGCCTTTCCTATATGGAAGTGCCCTGCCAGCTGCATGCAGCCAGGCTGTGTTGGGCCTCAGCCCAGAAGCTTCTGGTAGGCCCCGAGAGGCTGAGCCCCGGTCCTAACGAATCAGGCCCAGGGCCTGTGACGGTTGCTTATGCCCAACTGCCCGCAGCCTGGGTTCGGTCCATGTTGTGTATCTGGCCCAGGGCCTGCCTCAGTTGCATACGAAAAAGGCAGTCGGGGCCTGGGCGCTCTCAACCAACTGGCGCTGCGCAACTGCCTGAATTTTCCGCAGTTGCGTGGTAGCCTGAAAATAGGCCTGGTGGCCTTGGTCGGGCCTGCCTTCACTTAGGGCGGCCGACAGTGCTGCTTGCAGGGTCAAAGGGGTTCATCGGGGTTCATCAGGGCTCATCGGGGCTCATCGGGGCCTTATGCCTCGCATTCCCTCCTCCATACGTCGACAGTCCTCTGAGAAGTTCCATTACTCAATCTGGCGCTTTCCTTTCTGCAGTAACTTCTCGTAGTGAGCGATAGCCTGTGGAGCGGTCTGCATTATTCCTCTAGAGTAAACCACCTGTCCTCCTTAGGATCAATGTGATCTCTGAACCGAACGCGATATTGCAGCTTCGGTTTAGGCGGACGTCCTCTGCCTGTCGGTCTTGGAACTGGCCTTTCTTTGTGGTCCACGATGTCGTCGATGTCGACCTCTCCATCCATGGTTGGGGGCAGCATT